ACTGGCTTGGGTTCTTAATCGCTTGGCCTCGGTCGGTTCGGTGGGTGCGATTCCGCTGGTGAGGTATGCCTTCAGTTCATCCCGCCAATCAGGGGGATCGTCACGATCGGCTAGCTCAGCGTCAACATTTGCTAACATCTCGGCTTCAATGCTGGGGTGGTCGATCTCTTGTTGAATGATCGTTCTCAAGTGGTCCGGCTTCTTGGTTGCGGCCAACCTAGCCAACTAGTCGGCCCGGGTATTGTCTTCCCGGGGGATGTGTTCGACCAACACCTCCTGGAAATTCGCCTTCAATTTTTGATAGGCATGATAGTATCTCATCATGTTGTGGTCCTTTACTTGGAAATTTCCGCCCACCTGCTCGGCCACTACCTTGGAATCGGTGCGACACTTGATTCTTGATGCACCCATGTCCTCAGCCAACCTCAATCCGGCCAATAGAGCTTCGTACTCGGCTTGGTTATTTGAAGCTTTGAACCGGAAGCGGAAAGATTGGTCTAAAGTTATTCCTCTCGGTCCTTCTAAGATTACCCTTGCCCCGCTCCCTTGGTTGTTTGAGGATCCGTCTACATGGAGGGTCCACCACTGTTGTTCAAATTGGTCGTGAGGGTGAAGTTCGTTTATGAAGTCGGCCAAGCATAAGGTTCCGATCTCAATAGATGCAAGAACAAATGCAGGCACAAATGCAGTTTTTAAGGAAAGAGATATTACCTACCTTAAAGATACCATCACCATCATCAGTCAAAAAACTTGGGAAGAATCAAGAATAAAAATATTGAATTCTAGTTTTTTTAATTTATTTACATTAGCATTGTTAACTCATTAGAAGAGTTTTATTATGTTAGTTGGTATTGAGTATTTTTATTATGTTAGTTGGTATTGAGTATTTTTATTATGTTGGTAATTTAGAATTGCTTTAGTTAACATTTAGTATTTTTATGTTATTTGATGCAAGTTGATGACACAAAATATATTTGATGTGCAAAATACAGGTACTACAATCTTGATATTACAACTAAACAATTATAAAACTTTTAGTATGAAAAATGCAGGTGAAGACGAATATTTGAATATAAAAAAAAAATTGCGACAAAATAGCGAGAGATTAGCGATGATAACCAAAACATAACAGTAAGGGATTTGCTAGGAAATAGAGAGGGATATCTTGTGAAGGACCACAATAGCGAGGGAACCACAATACAATAGCTAGGGACCTGTAGCGAGGGAATAAAGAAGGATTTG